ATGCCTGTACCATTTTTGCATTAGTATAATTGTGTGACGAGTACAGTCATTCTCAATGCCCAGGGAAGGCGTAACATTTTCCAACATCTCTAGCATGGTCTTGCTTTGTAGCTGCGCCTTTACCGACTGACCTAAGAGAGGAAAACTACAGCAAACTTTTAAAGTTGTGGTAACTTCCAGGAAGTCACGAAAACTTCAGAACTTCTTCTTTAGAACAATTGTAACAACTTTATTGTTGTTCCAAGAACTCCAGGCAATCTGCAGGAAAACTCAAAGGTTGTAAGGGCAGTTCCAATAAGTCCTGGCTTTTTGGAAGTTTAGGAATCTATAAGGACAAGTTTTGAAAAAAATCTGGTCGGTTCCAAGAATTTCAGGAAAATTTTAAATAAGTTCTGGGAATTTCAGGATGTTTCGGTCATTTCATTTCATTTCAGAGTTTCGGAGAAGCACTTCAGGAGTGTTGCGGGAAGTTCAGGAAAGCTTCGATAATAACAGAGAAGATCAGATAACCTAAAGGCAGTTCAATTAACATCGAATGTCAAAGGACTTTCAAAGTAATTCTGAGTAACTCAAGAAATTTCCGAAAACTTAAGCAAAGTTCCAAGAGTTTTTGAAAAATTGTGGAATCTTTGAGCATACTCGAGAACTTTAAAAAAATTGCGGGAACTTCAGCGAAGATCAATAGGTAGTCCCATTAATTTCAGAAAGAAAATCATGAAAACCTTCTAAAAAGTTCTTCAGTTTAGATATTTTAAGGTAGGGTTTTTGATCTAATTTCCGTCCTACTAAGTACGACCCGCGGTATTTTCTGTCAAAAATGACCTCTAAATTTATTCACCTTTCCATACGTATCGTTGAATTTGATAAAGAGAATTTGTGAGATATTGTCTAAAATCTAATAAAATGATTCTAAATTCGTTCTACAAGTTTCAAATCCGTCCTAACGCATTGAAACGCCATTAGATTTTCTTCGTCCTACGGATAAACGTAGAAAAAGGGGATTCGCTAGCAGCGTTTCTATTGTTTTGAGAACAATGAGCGTAAATAATCATACGATGCGCTCTAACAGGGTTTATGTTGTAGCTAATGAACTTACACACTTAGTTGTTTCTACCGAGCTCGGCTGTGCTGTGCTGTGCTGTTTGTTGGGATGGCACTTACTGATGGTTACTAGCGAGCACAAAAGTGCTGGCGAACATCTCCAGAGCTGACGTCGACAGTCATTTTGTTCATTAAAGAGTTGTACATTACTACAAGAGAGGGACTTTTATTGGTCTACAACCAGAGTTTAAAGACCTACTCCCCCTATCCACTGCTAGTAGTCAATGATCCATTTCAAGACTTCAGATAGTTCGAGCTGTTGAACGGCATTGCGAAGTGAAAATACAATTTTCCTCTTACATGTTATCCTGGGGCATCTGCTGGTTCCAGAATGAGCTCTCCAATGGCATTGTTTTGTGTAAAAATGCAATTGTCCTCTGCTCCAGGTTCCCCCGGGGGCATACCGGAGGTCCCGAGAGCGACCAATGTGGTAAATGATTCACTTTAAGTCTATAGAAAGAAAATTCATGTAAATCCATGAAGAATGAGCTGTCGCACGGCACGTTTCTGAGTTAAAACGAAATTGTCCCCTGCTACAGGTTCTCTCGGGGCATCCCAGTGGTTCCGAGAGCGGCCAATGTGGTCACTGATCCATTTGAAGTTTAATGAATGCCTATTCATGAAAAACCATGAAGAATGAGCTGTCGCGCGGCATGTTTTGGTGAAAAAATGCAATTGTCCTCTGCTCCAGGTCCCCCGGAGGCATACCGGAGGTCCCGAGAACGGCCAATTTGGTCACTAATCCATTTAAAGTCTATCAAAAGCCTACTCATGAAAAAGCTTTTGTATTGGTGTATAAAAACGCAATTGTCCCCTGCTCCAGGTTCCCCCGGGGGCATACTGGATGTTCCGAGAGTGGCCAATGTGGTCAATGATGCATTTAAAGTTTATCGAAAGTCTATTGACGAGAAACCATGAAGAAAGAGCTGTCGCACGGCATGTTTTGAGTGATTAAAAAATTTGCCCGCATTCAGAACCCTTCACCAGAACCGATTCCAGGGAAATGGCCATATCTCGGTTGAATTTAGGCCGATTTTAGTTCTTGGCATATGATTCGCTTAAGAAATGGTTCTTCTTTCGTTGTATTTACTAAAACATATATATATTTAACCAGCATTATATATTAAATTTCACCAAAAATTTAGCAAGTTAGACAAGCCCTCCGGAAACCCGGAATATATCCGGTATCCGGTGACCAGGATTATGTTCGTGGCTACACCGTAGAACAATATTAGTTTTCCAGTCAAAAGCTCTTGGAAGATTTAAAATCGGATCATATTTGACGAAGTTACAACACTCCAAAGTTGACCAAAAAATTGCCTATCCTAGTTATTTTGAGTAACCCCTGTATTGTTGCGAGCACTGAAAGTAATTGTGTTCCGTTTTGTAATATGTAATTAAGATTAAGATAAAAGATGATTGTTAAGATACAGTATTAAAACCTCAACACAAACTGAAAATACACACAGTTGAAATAAAATCTCCGAGTAGGCACGCTGCCTCTCAGAGTACTGTTAATCTGGACTTTTACCATAGAGGTACCCTAATAAAAATTGTATGGTTAATTTGCTTAACGACGTGTTCTGGGTATCATCCAAACCATTTGTGGAATAGTTCAATGATTTGGGTTATCGTTCGTTTATGGTTATTTTTTATTAGGGTAACTCTAAGACCAGAGGGTCCCGAAGTAACGAGCTCAACTTTTTGGCTCAGCTCTGGTACTATCTTTGGTCCCAAGCTAATCGATGCACCCCTCGAAACATATGGAAATCCACGAACCCCTCATTTTATCTGTTAAACTTTCATAGCGAATCAAAACAAAAATAGTGTAGTATGGGGTCGGGATAATCGATTTGCTTGGGACCAATAGGCTAGTCAAGTAGTGAGCCAATTTAAAATCGTTAGTTTCGTATTGATTGTTGCTTTTACTTCGTCCTATTTCATCGCGATTATCGAGTATCCGTCGCCGTCACCCTGTTTGGAGTAGATCCATCGAACCACCAAGGAATCACAACGTAGGGTCCTGATCTACTGCTGGACGAAACACGCTTAGTTTGGCATTCTAAAGAAACGACTTTTTTTGGTTTTGCTCTTAAGTTCCTAGATCCATCTGGGCTACAGTCCTGGATTTTCGAGATTTTTAGAAAGTTTATCTTTAAGAAGAGATTACTCCACAACCAAGCTATTTGGGTATAAATTAAAATTAAAAAGTTGCGTTTGATTTTAATCCAAAAATCATGCATTCTTCAAATGTCAATATCTCATGTAGTTTGTTTAGATAATAAAAAGGAAAAAGGAAACTACAAGAACAACTTTTTTTTAACGGAGTAAATTATCCTTTAAAATAGAGTAGGTGAGCTTGTTTTAGCATTACTTAGTAAGCATGTTTGGTTTACACACATTATAAAATAGAAACCTCCAAGATGTGTACGAACTGATACCACTGAGTTGAAGTTTTAAGTATTCTGAGTATATTTATTTTAAACTTCTAGTTCCAGCACCAGTTATGACATTAGTTGTTCCTTTATTGGTCGTAGGTGTGCTCCAGTTTTTGGCCTTAGTGATTTTTTCAACGAAGCATTCTTCCATTGCTAATAAGTACAATGAAATCACGCTATTTTGCAAACAAACTCAACTTGTTTCTCTAAAATGAGTTTCAGTTAAGATCATATGGAAGGTACACTATTCATATTCCCGGAGGTTGGGATGTCAATGAATTTGATCTTACATGAAATATAATGGCACAGCCATGTCACACGACAATGATGAACAATCTTCCATTGCATTTCTTGTCACTGATTTCCCTTTAGAGCGGTACATACTTAATTCGAGGTCCCTAAGTAGAACAAACGCAAGAGATGCAAAGTCCAAGCCTAGACCTGGCTCTTGAGTAGAAGATTTTGGATGATCAGGATGGTCGTGTTTCTTCGGGACCTTCTGGTCTTAGAGTTACCTCTGTGATAATAAAAAGCTTCAATGTCATATTTATCATTGGTCACAGAAAAAATACCCAACAACAAGCTGCTTTGACGCAATTTGATTGAATAGCATCTTCGAGCGTTTTTATTTAACCATAGTTTAGCAAAATAGAACAAATACAGCAGGCCTCCCCTAGGCCCCCTCCAGATAATTTTGTTAGCTACGCCAATGCTAATTGAAATGATTTTTTGTGAGTGTGCAGTTTGTGGTTGGCCCTAATCATATACACAAAAATCAGCTCAATTCGTTGAAAGATTGTTGAGAAATGGCGGTGGGTAGACGGCACCACCGACCACGCAGATCAGGAATTCATGAATTATTTTCTTACAGCAACTTACAACAAAAGCAAAAAATCAATCTTAAGATCAGTGTCCAACATACTTTCTTGGATATGAGATCGGGGGCATCGTTGTTGCCAACCTGTAACATAGCTTTTAATCATGTTTAAACATCCCAACTACGCACTATCTTGCATCGGATTGGGATCTATTCGTTATCTATAGGCACACATTCCTTGTAAATCTTTATGGTTGACTGACAATGACTGCGTTCCTTAAAAGTTTTGGGAAATGAAGAACAAAACGGTTTGCCACTTTTGAAGGTATCTTTTCTCTTTCGGCGATGAAATAAATATTCCGCGATAAGCGACCAGATTTGTTGGCCTTATCATCCATCAATGCACGGTCCACAACCGTCTGATTTTTTTTAACAAACTCGCGAAAAGCGGATTACTCCATTTATGTTATCAGCAAAAATCACTAATTTTTACACGGTATTCCGTCAAGTCTCATATTTGATTCATCGTTGGACGTTTTTTTTTTTTTTATCAAAAGCGAAAATGAATAATTTGTCTTACTCAGCCCTGTGAGTAATTGACGATTTTAGAAGCAAAATTTCGATGGAAATAATTAAACACTTACCTTCAAAATACTGCTGGAAGAAAGTCAAGGTGAGCAACGATCCGAGTGTATTTGTCTGACCGGTGAAATCCATATCGCAGTAATACGCCACTATCCCGGTAATCGCAAATCCAATCCATATGAGGGATTGAAACTATTCTCAAGCAGAAATTGGATTCATTAGTTATTCCTTACTCCATTGCGTCATATGCATTCACAAAAACTACTCACGATTCCAAAAATGCCGGCGAATATGGCGAACGCCCTAAACACTCCATAGTTTGGAAACACCATTTTGTCCTAGCAATTCGAGTCACAACTGCTTTTCTAGGATATTCGGTGCACAAGCTTAGATCTACTATATCGACAACGTTCTGCATTCACTGCGTTTCGAGCATAATTAAATGCTTTCACATTTTCGACATTACGAAACAAAAAGTTGAATTAGTCCAAATCCGAGCGCGCGTATTTGTCAGCCCCACAGTCCAATCGATACTAACGAACCCCTCCGGTCGGTTCAGCCGATTATGGTCTGTCCAAAGTGACCGATACGCCACCGCCAAGTGAGTGTGCTGGTGTTTGGCAAATCATGATGCGGAATTGACAACACATCACACCGCCCGGGCAGGTGAAAAATCTTATCTAGACTTCCGCGCCTCTCCGAAAGTATCTACCCCAAACGCCCTAGTCTCAACCCCGGCCCATCCACTTGTTTGGATAGTATGTAATTCACACCAGCTACCAACTGATAACGGACCCATAAATTGATTCCGCCTTTCCAGCTAGGTATCTGGATTTTATCGACAGTTGACTGTGCGAACATATTGTTACAGGGCTGCTCTCCTCAACCGGATTGTTTGTTGAAAAATGTCTTCTAAGAAAATGATAAACTAGATCCCTTTGGCCAGTTCACTCAGTTTACTTTGGAACAGGAGAACAGACGGAGGATGAATCGATGGATGACTCGTTCGAGCCGAAAATAAAAATGCGCTGATAAGGTTTATCTCTTGGACCAATTTCCGACGGTACCCAGTGACCAAGGATTATTTATTTACTTTGCTTCGCGATCTGAGATACGGTGTTATCCAGATTGTAATTTATAAATTCTTGCAAGGGATCATGCGAAAACGTTTGTACCCATTAAAACAATAATTATGTGAGATATTAAAATTAAGTCCATCTTGGGATCGCCCAGAATTTTCCATACTAACTGACTCTGTAATCGTGTAACACTAAAATGTAAAAATTGGCTCATAGCTATTTTAAGTACAGTGGTTGAGTAAATCGGGCTGCTGCGTGGTGGCAGACTCCCGGTAGCTTCTGGGACAGCAAGTTTGACGATCTGGAAGAGATGAGGAAGCAGTAATTTGAAAACAGCTAAATAATCGTAATTTCGTTCAACGTATGAAATATTTATGCAGGGTAAGTGAACCAGTTTTTGGCCCAAGAGGTTCCCTTATTGGCCTTATCTTAAGTATCATTTTTTATCATTGTTAACCAAATGTATTTCCATGCAGGGTTAGAACATTTGTCATACCTCTACATGAATAATGCCATGACAATTTATTTCAAATTTGAGTTAGGGCCAAAAACTGACTCACTTCCCTAATAAAAAATTAGATAGAGTATTGCATGCATCTATTTCTCAATTTTAAAATTGTTTTGCTTTTTCTCAGTTGATTCCCGCCAAAAGCTCTGAGCCAGGAGTGCTCGAGCCCCCATGACTCTACCAAAGTTTACTTACATACATGCTTCGCCAAAGTATGTTTTACTGCATTTGAAAGGTCAGATGAGTCATAAAGACTATGCTGGATTTTATACTTTCATCACCGAGCCTGCTGGTTTTGTCTATGAGCTTAAAATTAATAATGTGTTATGACAAAGCATGGATCATTTTTATGAGATGGCAATGCTTGAAGATGGGTAATAATAGTAACTTCATTTGTCGCTTCTGAATGTTTGGGTCCCGTTTGGCAGTTCACACTGGATCGAAATGACAAGCACATTGATGGTGGTAAGCTCCAACCGGTATTATCCTCGGATTAAATCTCGATCAAGAATATCAAGCCGCTTTGACGTCGACATCAGAGTTAATCAACACGACTCTACGCAAACATTTGGCAGATCATCCAAGCAGGGTTGGAATTAAAAGTTAATCCGAGGTGGAGCTTACCGTCATGAGTGAGTCCGCAGTACCCAGGTACATAGCACGGTTCCGAGTCATTTGACCAATTGGAGGCGAACCAGCCCCAGGCTGAAAGCCTCCCTAATAAAGATAAATTAATTAATTAATCATTTGATCGAATTCTGTTTGGTCGAATGGCACTTGCCGAATTCCATTTGGCCGAATGCCATTTGGCCGAATGCCGTTTGGTGGGACACTGATTAATTCAGAAGGCATTTCCCATTCATGTGTTCGAACTCGATGCGCAGTGTCAAAATCAGTGCTGTTAATTTTCATATCATTCGATTGAAGATGAACCACTACAACCATTCAATCAATTCTTTATCTTTTCAAACCAGTAATGGTAGATCACCTTTTCGTGTTGCGTTACTGGTATAAGATCTACCACCGAACCCCAGTCCTGATAACTTCAAACTAAGGGAACAGGATTTTTCAGTAATCAAAGAAACACATTTTAGTCCTTGTTACTTTTCATGCCTTGTTAATAGTGACTCGGGTATTGACCACCCCCGTTATGAATTGTAATTAATTAATTAATTAATTAATTAATCAAAAATATTATTTATGTTTATAGCATATAAATAATCCTTTTCCTTTTTGTTATCTAATCCTTCGATTTAAACAAGCCCGATGTTTTCTAAATCATCTTGTCTCTTAAATGCTGCACAGTAGACCTGACCGCGACGCATTTTTGATGTGAATCATACGGTGTATCTCAAAATTGAGCGAACAGATGTCCTTAAATATTAGAAAAAAACAGCTTTAAAAGCACAATTTAAAGAGATACGTTTCTGAATTTCTGGCTGCTGAACCATCATAAATCTATCAATTATTTATACAGTGTTGGGCTTATTTGGTAACGTTTATTAATAATTACCTAACACTTTGTACGTATGCAGTTCCTCCCGGTCCTTGGCTCTCTGAACGAAAGACTTGGACAGATTCAACTGTTTGGCCACATCCCTGGCCGAAGCATTGGAATTCCGCTTGAACGCTTTCACGACACGCTTGTGATCCTGATCACTAATAGAACATCCATTCTGACTGCATTTCTCCTTCCGTTCGATGCTTAGAGTTTCGTAGTAACGTTTAAGCACACGGCTCACCGTTTACTGCACGATTCCGAGTTGTTTTCCGATGTCCCGATGAGAGAGTTGAGAATTTTCCAGGTGCTTGCACAAAATCAATTCACGACGTTGCTTTTTGGGTGACGCCATTTTTTCCAACGTTCGACAAACTGACAGCGATAAAAATACAGTGAAAATAATACACTCTAAACTAATACTACCCAAATTTTCAAGATAAAATACCCAATGGGTAATTTTCTACAGCGTTTTTTCCGTGATGCAATTTGATGTGGGACACCCTTTATCAATAATTTCCCTGCATGCTTTCAAGAACTGGCTAGGTTGGTGTTAGATTAGATTAGATTAGCAAAGCGAAGAACTTTTAGAGCCAAGTTTTATCACCACATATGTCTGGAGTCTGTCTCTTGGAATTAATTCAAGACCAACAATTGTTCTTGACGTTTTTAACCTACCGGACATTGCATGGACTCCAACCTATAGTGGTTTCTTTTGTCCTGATCACGAGCGTTCATCTTTACACGTAGGAACCATCCAGCTCCTGGACAGTTATAGTACCACAATTCTGTCACAAATCAATGGCTTGTTGAATGAAAACAACCGCACTCTGGATCTCTGCTTTGTGAGTGCTCGTGATACAGCTCCTTTCCTCTCCACGGCACCCTAACCTTTATTCATCATTCATCATCACCCTGTTTTAGTTATCGTGATCGAAAATAATATTGTCCATGATTTCACCACTCCAAACGCTGTGTCATATGACTTCCGTAGAGCTGACCATCGCAGTATCGTCCATGTGCTGTCTAACCTAGATTGGGAGCATATTCTAGATCCTGTAGACGTCAACATTGCTGCACAAACCTTTTCTCACGTCTTGACATATGTCATTCACAGACACGTTTCCAAAAAAATCATCCATATCGACTCTCGCGTCCCGTGGATGACGAAAGATCTTCGCTTGTTGAAAAGAACTAAGAAGGCTGCTCTCAGAAGATTTACTAAACTCCGCACACTGCCGCTGAAATGCTACTATGTCAGACTCAACCACGAGTATAAGCGGTTAAGTCGTCTCTGTTTTCAACGCTATCAAAGGAGGATTCAACGGCGGCTAAAATCACACCCGAAATCTTTCTGGAACTTCGTAAATGAGCAACGCAGGGAAGTCGGGTTACCCTCTTCCATGATTTTTAATGGTGAAACTGCTGGAAATCAACAAGACATTTGCAACCTGTTCTCAGCCAAATTTGCTAGTGTGTTTGAAGACGAGCAACTCTCCGCTAATATCATTACTTCCGCGGTCAGCAATGTTCCTTTGATCAACCAAACGCTCAGCATGGTTGAAGCCACTAGAGATACGATTTCTAGAGCAGCATCTAAACTTAAGACTTCAACTAAGGCTGGACCCGATGGTGTTCCGTCGATTATTCTTAAAAAGAACATCACTTGTCTTTTAGATCCACTGCGCCGCATATTCCAGCTCTCTCTTTCCAGCGGCATCTTTCCGTCTTGCTGGAAGACTGCGGATATGTTTCCTTTTCGTAAAAAGGGAACCAAACGCGACGTAAACAACTACCGGGGAATCACGTCGCTGAGTGCTGTATCAAAACTTTTTGAATTGGTTGTCATAGAGTCTCTAAATGCACATCGCAAGCAATATCTAAGTACAGATCAACACGGATTCATAACTGGGCGTTCCACAACTACGAACCTGCTGTGCCTATCGTCTTACATCACAGACAGTTTGATTGCTCGGACCCAAACGGACGTTATCTACACAGATCTTACGGCAGCCTTCGATAAGCTGAACCACGAAATTGCGATCGCTAAGCTTGATAGGCTAGGGATCGGTGGAAATCTTTTGAGATGGTTTCGTTCATACCTCACGGAGCGCCAATTGACAGTAACTTTGGGTACTTGTCGCTCAGCAAGCTTCTGCGCAAAGTCCGGTATACCTCAGGGTAGCCATCTGGGACCATTGGTATTTCTCCTCTACTTCGACGACGTTCACCATGTTATCACAGAGCCACGATTATCGTTTGCAGACGATCTGAAAGTTTTTCTGCACATCCGCTCACTCGCCGACTGCCGTTCTCTCCAAAACCAGATTGACATCTTTGCTGACTGGTGTAGTCTAAACCGACTGGTGGTCAACCCAGCTAAGTGTACAGTTATTACTTTCTCACGCAAGAAACAACCGATTATTTTCAACTACAAACTACTAGGCACGACTATCGAACGGGTGCACTGCGTGAAAGACTTAGGCGTTTTTCTAGACTCAAAGCTGACATACTCACACCATATATCGTATGTCGTCGAA